TACCGGCTGCCACGCCCATAGACTCGAGCGGCGACGTGTCCAGTACAAAGTTGAGCGAGTGACCTATGACCTTGATGACCAGCTGCATGGCGCCCAGGTAGTACAGGACAGTCAGAGTGGCGTTCGTGATGAAGATGATGGGCAGTGCCTGGGAGTGGACATGACAACGTGGGGGTCAATACTTGTGAGTGGACATACACACTACGTGATGGTCAATACTTGTGAGTGGGCATTACAACGTTGTGGTCAATACTTCTGAGTGGACATACACACAACGTGGAGGTCAATACTTTAATGTGAGCGGACATAACAACGTGCTGGCCAGTACTTGTGAGTGGAAACAACGTTCACACAAAGTCTACACACCCCGTTTATCACTGTGTTGACTCCCCAACTATCAATGTCTACTTGCTCCAACTATCCCAACTATCAATGTGTAGAAAGCCCATCCCCGCACCAGGACAGAACTACCGACTGAAGTGTCTTTAGACCATTCCCAAAGGGGGGGAGGGGGGGGGAGGGGTATTAACATGTTCTTGTGCAAGGTAGAATTTTAAAATGGGCTGATTTATCAATGTCATGCTCTTATTGTACCGGAACAACATAGGGAGAACTGCTGCTCTTTCTTTCCTCATCCTTACTATCGTCATTTTTCCTCTTCTTCTTTTGAATGTTTGTCACTCTCTTGTGAACTGTTAGAGTCTATTTCCGGGGCGCCTTGATAGTCGAAGCAGACATTGTGTTGTTGAAGAAGCTAGAGAGGTGAGCAGGGTAAGGTTACTCTGCTTGGACTTCTCTGTTGACATCCACCCCTTGGCGCTCATATGACCTTAAGCAGTTGCAGGCGCCGTAAAACCTTACTAAAACTAAAACTAAAGACAGCCTAACTATCAATGTATACACACCCCAACTATCGCAACTGTCAAAGTATACACACTACAACTATCCCATCTACCAATGTGTATACAGCCCAACTATCAATGTGGACACACTACAACTATCAACGTACGTATACTACACACTACAACTATCAACGTACATATACTACACACTACAACTATCAACGTACATATACTACACACTACAACTATCAACGTACGTATACTACACACTACAACTACCAACGTACGTATGCTACACACTACACCTATCAACGTACGTATACTACACACTACAACTATCAACGTACGTATACTACACACTATAACTATCAACGTACGTATACTACACACCACAACTATCAACGTGCGTATACTACACACTACAAAAATCAACGTATGTATATCACACACCCCAAAAATGACGAAATGGTCTTCGTACGATTCCCCGAACATTAGCCTGGAACCGGCCCGGGAGTTGCCGAAGTACTCGTTCATCCGGTCCTGGATCCAGATAATCGCATCGGTGCCGAATTGCCAGCGCAGCACAATGAGGGCAGACAGGAACTGGAGACCCACAGACCAGTAGATGGTGTGCCAGTTGATCTGTCAACGGGTGATACAGTTGAGATAAGATAAGATATCCCTCCACCAGTCCCCCACACCCTCCCCACTCCTCTCGACCCTCCCTTTCCCCCCTCTCCCTCCCCTCTCACCTCCTCTTCTCCTCCTCCTGCCCCGCCAACTCACCCCTCTCCACCCAACCGTTTCCCCTC